CTCAGCACTCATCTGTCCGCGCTTCTTTGTGCCCTGATCCATGGAGTTTCACAGGTGCACAGCTCACACGACTAGGTATAACCGTTCAATCAACCCCGGTGCCTGCGTTTAGCACTGGGGACTTGAGTCCATAGGTAGTCGCGTGACAATGCTAAGGACAACAAACGTAGTCGTGGAGGCAGGGTAAAACCTGCACGACGATCCCTACACACTATCAAGCAACAGAATCGAGATCCCTGCCTAACCCTCTGGCTACCTTCCATCAAGGAAAGCTGCACGCTGGAGACGCGAGTTACCGCTTCGGAGGAGCTGGCGTTAGAATCCTGAGAGCATCGCGACCGCGAGAGAGAGAGAGGCGCTAGTGCAGTCTATAAAACGGGTTTAGGGCTCCGGTTTACTAAACCCTAAACCCCTCCTAAACCGTTACATGGAGTTGTGGCTGTTGGGGCTTGGGCTCGCTTTTGGCCGCTACGGCATACAAACTGCATTGCTGAAGTTGCGCTTCGAGCCTTTCAGCATCACAGATTAAGGGGTTATGTTTTTTTTCAGAGTGTTGGGGATTTACGATGTAACTATAGTTTGTTGCTTCCCTACTACGGCTCCGAAGCATGAGATAAGCTAACTCAAACCAGGAGCTACAATGAAGCGCACGGGGGCTTCTTCTTTGGAAGGAAGCTTGCTTTCTCGACGAGAGGCTGAGGGCTTGACTTCGTTTTCTATTGAGGGGCTGCTTGCCATCAGCTTCGAGCCGACGGTTTAGGTTTTGGGGTTTAGGGTTTAGGGGAAGGTTCGGTGTTTTCTCTTCTTTATCCAGGCGCGGTAAGCTCCTTCATTGGAGGGCTCTTTTCAATCAGTTTGAGGCACTGGGGTGGTCAAGCCTAAAGGCCTAAAGGCAAATCCAACCCTAGAAGCCTTACCCTTAACCCTATAAGCCTTACACACTCAAAAAAACCCTTACAAGCCCTGAACACTAAAGGACAAACACAAATCCAGGGCTGGGGTAGAGTCTTTAAGTTTGGAGCTTGAGGGTTTAAGAAGAGTTACTCCAAGGGTTTCTCGAAGGTTTCTGCCAGGGGTTCCTGCAACGGTGCTGTCAGGGTACTGCACGGTCCAAGTCTAGGGCCTTTAGGGTTTAGGATTTAGGTGGTTAGGGGGTTCGGGGTTGTGGGTTTAGGGCTTAAGGGCTTGCAGGGCTTACAGTGTCTAGTGTTCAGGTTGTGTGCTGCAGATCCCAAGTCCTGGCCACCCAAAACGTCAAGCACACACTCGGCTTTAGAGCGCACATTGCAAATCTCAATGTCCTACAAAAGTGAATCCTTAGATTCCACACCCGGGCTCCGTTCGACGCACAGGCGGTAGCTCACCATGCGTCCTGCTGGGCAGGGAAGGCAATGGGAGCCTTCGATGAAATTGTTGTAGGTTGTAGGCCGTGTGTTCACGGCTTCAGGTTTAGGGTTTAGATTATTAGAGCTACCATATGTTACCATTCAGGATGGCTTACAAGTGTAGGGTTTGTAGTCCGAGTCTTGCGGAGCTTGTAGCACAACAGAATACACATGTCCAGTGTTTCCTCTTGGGCATGTGTCTCTTGCTAAGAAGGTCATTTAAAGTACTACGGTGCCGTATGCTGACGGGTCGTTATTCCGACTTCTATATCCAGAATATATATATGACACTCCAACCCCCCCCAAAAAAATTCTAAACCCCTAGACCAGGAAGACCAACAAGTAAAGATGCGTTGGCCTTACTCACGGAAATAGTAGCCGATCGAACTGCTTACAAAAAGGTCTAAAGTGATTCGGCTTTTACGATCGCATAGGCTGCATCGGGTCTTTTCTAGAGCCCTAAACCCTAAACTGCAAGCCGTTTTAGCAAGACACGAGCTTCGTCTAAGCCCTATAATCTCTAATTAAGCCCCAAATCGTTTTAACAAAACACAAACTTCGTCTAAACCCTAATCCCTAAACCCTCTGCATCCAGGACTGCCTGAGCAGTGCCAAGACTTCTTCGAAGAGGACTTCCACCTTGCCCGGGCGTTTGCGGGCGGTTTAATGTAGGGGCCTCAAAAAATTCGAATAGGGCTTTGGGCTCCTTTTCTCAGGATCATAAGGAACTCTATAGAACAATATTGGTAATTATTTAGGCTGCTACATTAGCTGTCTGGTTTATGGCTCAGGAAACCCTTGAATACTGTTCAAGTTCGTTCACAGAAACTGGACCTATAGTAAATAAGATGGGGCTCTTGAAAAGTCTGAAACTCAGATTATGCCACAATAAGTAAGGAAACTTTATGAGTTGCTAAAGATCCCTATTATGGTGGCCTTAAACGAAGTTCCTTAATAAAGAGCCCAGTTCAGCTTTCTTCACGGCTCAGATTATTGGGGCCCGAGCCTGGCTTTCGGTCTTGGCTGCGGTAGGCAAATGGGTGGTTGTCAAAATTAGGGTCCCTTTTTGGGTCCTCAAGTTCTCAAGTATTATAGTACGGCACCTAATATTGAGGGTACCCAAAAAGGGACCCCCAATTTTGACAACCACCCAACTAGCACCCACTTTCGGGCCACAGTCCAGAAAAAGTACGTACTTTTGCGCTATTTAGGTTAGGGGTCGGGGTTTGTTTGGTTTGCCTGCATCGATTTTTGTTCTGGGGTGCGGGCGATTTTTCGCTAGCTCGGAGTGAGGACGCTCCGTCATCTAGCGTTACTTGCTCCCTTAAACCCAACATCCCTACACCATAAACTTGGCGGTTTACATAGGATTTGGGGGTTTGAGGTTTGTTGGGCTTCTGATCAATTTCGGATTTCATTACTCGGAACAAACTCATGAGAAACTCTTCAATATCTGTGCTCAGAGAGAAAACATACTTGTCCAGTATCCTAGGGGAACTAGCAATGGAGTATGCCACGGTCGTTCAAGCTTCGATTAGAGCTTCGGGTTTAGGTTTCACTGCGTTCGGGGTCCCAGAATGATTTGGGGTTTAAGGTTCTGCATGGGTGCTCCACTTGGGAATTCGGGCCTTGGACACAGAGACTCCCAAATCCCTTAATTTCAGGAATATACCTTCAGTTAAAGAAACCGTAAGCTCTGTTTACCACCAGAACTCTAAACTAAAACCCTAATTAATTCCACGGAATCGAAACTCTTAAACCCTCAGCCGTAAACCCTAAACTCTGTCTAAAACCCTAAGCTCCCATCCCAACCTTAAAACCCTAAGCCCTAAACCCTCCCAAAATCCTAAACCCTCAGCCGTCAAAACTTAAATTCGGTTTAAAACCCTGAGATCCTAAATCCAAGCACTAACCCCTGAAACCCATATATCCTAAACCCTCAACTCTGTCTAAACCCTGCACTGATATGTTTTTTTATAATCCCTGAGCCCTAGACTCTGCCGAGATCCTAAATCCTCAACCGTAAAAGCCTAAGTCCTACATTTACACCTTAAAATCCTAAACCCTCAACCCTAAGCTCTGTTTAACCTCTAAACTCCTAATCTCACCGGAAACTTCTGCTTAAACCCTAACCCGCCTAAACCCTACCGAAACCCAAACCCTCAACCGCAAACCCTGAAACTTTTTTTGGCCTTTGTCTCCATCCGCCAGATGTCCAGTGCTTTCGCACTGCCTGGCCCAGCCAGCTTCTGGGCTCTTGTGGAGGGAGTTAGTCCAAGGTACCATAGTAAGGAAACCCTGTTAATTTCTATACACCCCTACCCCTACGATAAGAACGTAAAGCTGAAATTTTCCTGAACATCAACCCAAGATTTCGGTGCACACTGGCTTACTCCAAGGCTCCAAAACACCCTAAAGGCTTCGGGCTTCGAGTGGAAATTTGCTGTTTGGGTTAGAGGATATTGATGGTTTTCAAAATTCTTCAAATCCCCCAAAAGACCGGTATCTAGACCCCTCACAAGCCCAAAGGGCGTCGTTATGAAACTCTCGAGACCCCTGCCAAGCCCATCCTCCAAACCCTACAGCCGAAACCTTTATAGTAGAAGCCCAAAAGTTGGAAACCCAATAGCCTCTAATGTGTAGGGAATCCCAGCACTGTTTGGCCTTAACCCGGTTTCCAAGTTTGTGTAGCTTAATGTAATATCGGGCCTTATTACTTGGAATAGGGTTTTGGGGTACATTATACTCAGAAGTACAATAAGGAACCCCGAAAATACGGTTGATGATATAAATCCTGCATGACCCATAAGAAGGAATATACCATAATCCCCATAGATTCCTTACTATGGGTCATGCAGGATTTTTTCATCAACCGTAGTAGAGGTCAAAGGTCGGTATTCAGGCCCCTCGGGCTTTACTGTATCAAGCACCTCAGACCCCCGGGAGGATCCAAAACAGTAGATCCCTTCATGGGGGTTCCTATACAGTACCCTTAGTAGTATAGTATAGGGCCCCAAATTAGGGGATCTACTTTCTAGACCCTAAACCCTAAACCCTACATCCTAAACCCTAAACCTTAAATCCTAAACCCTAAACCCTAAATCCTAAACCCTACATCCTAAGCCCTACTTTCTAGATCCTCCCGGGGGTCTGGGACCCCTTGTTCCGCAAACAAAAGGCAACTTCCGACCTCGAAGGCGGGCCGCGCCCTCGATGAACTCCGTAAGCCTAAGCTTCTCTCATCCTTTGGTCTATCATAGGGCCCCAAAAAAACATAAGCAAGAATTCGGATAGGGATATGCCATATAAAACCCCCTTATAATGAAGCCCAATAAGGTAGGGACATCCCCATATGATGCTTATGCTTATGTGCTTTGTCGGTCCCGAATATCAAGGATTATGCAGATTCTTGTAAGGGATCGTTTCAGGGATCCTTTAAGGGCTCCTTGAAGGGCTACCTTCAAGGACTGCCTTGAAGGGTTCCTTTAAAGGGCTCCTTCTAAGGACTGCCTTCCGGAGAAAGTTTCAGGGATCCTTTAAGAGATCTTTGAAGGGCTATATAACGGGGTTGAGGGTGTTGACGGTCGTGGAGTTGGGGCGTGTAGGGCATTCAAAGATTGGGGCTAAAGGTTTATAGGGCTTAGCTGACGACCTGTTTCGGGCTCCCTTATTTAACCCTAAACACCCAGTTATCCAGGTAGAAACTTCGCGGGCTATTAGTAGTATAGGGTTGAACAGGAACAAAAACCAAACGATTTAAATAGGTAATTACATGATTCCAGGGTTGTCTATCTCGCTAAGGGCTTTAGGACTTTAGGTTGAGGGTGTGGGCACAACAGGAATACTCGTAGAAGACTTGCATGCCAATCCCAACGTTCCAAACGGGAGAAATCACAAAACCGAAACTCAGCCCAATGTCAACCCTTAAAACTTATACTGTCAGCATTTTCAACCCACAATGAATGAAAATGATAGTATTGACTTCCCCTTATATATTTCGCATAAGCATGAATGAAACAGAAATCCTGCGGAGCCCCTGAACCGCTCCGGGCCGCGTGATCTGCCCATCTCCATTATCTAAGAATTCGAAAAGGCTCAAGAGATCATGGTACTCCAACCTGAGCGCTTCAGGGTTCTCAGAAGGCCTGTCAACGGTTTGCGAAGGGTTTTCATCTGAGTCTGGGTTTGGAAGGGTTAGGCTTGGGGTTCGTATATGGCAATGGATTCCTTCAATTCAAAGGCTCTGATAATCGCAAGGGTCCTCCAATGCTAGAGCCTTGAAACATGGCTTACCTCGAGGGATCTGCAGGGGTTCGGAGGCTGGGGGCAGGACACCCCAACCATGTTCCTGATCGACGAGGGTCTGCAGGGTCTAGGTTCAGAGCGTCAGGCAACCCTAAACCTCTATACCCTGAACATTACACCGGTACTCCGTGCTTGATGACTCATCGTGCCTAGTAAGCTGATTGCTGTCGGAGTTTTCTGGCCGGTGCGTATGGTTTGATGATCGTGAGGCTTTGAGGCTGAGCCAATGGAGTGCCACTTCAACGACACTTTTCAGTCCAGATTCAGCGGGAATCAAATACGGCTTTGCCCATGTGGTGCAATGGAATGTGTTCTAAATCAGGTGTGTTAACATTGTGGTGCCCTTGACTGCGTTAGATGTTTTGAGACGAGACGTCAGCCAAGCGTCTCCAACTGGCTCATCCAGAATCGGAGCTTCGGTGACTGCACGAGCTTTGCGAACTCCTTCACTTCAGCTTCAAGTCCGCAGAGCAATTAACAAGGGTACCCCTTCTCCTACTATGTGCATTTGGTTTCACTAAGGGACCCCCCCCCAAAAAAAAAAAAAAAGTACTGTTTGGGAACCTAGATTCGCTTGATCGCCTCTTGTTTCTCGAATGGGAATTGGTGTTTCGGATTTGCGGGTTTAAAACCGGTTCGGGGCGTAGGGTGTTTGGTCTACAGCTGCGGTTTCAAGAGGGTCGGTTTCTCATAGGCCTTTTTGCGTGACCTCAACCTCAAACCCTAAACCTTACCTTCATCGACCAACCCCACATTTTTGTAGGCTCTGAAATTAAAGCATGGAATTTCTGAGAGACTACCAAAAATGGGCTTTGGTAGGTTAAGGTAGCCTTTAAACTTCTGGAAGGACAGAGCCTCCAAGTTGATGGCCCCATCTCCGCTGGCATCCATCGTCTGGAAGAGCTTACGCACCTGCGGGAGATGACTCTGAAGACTACGGCAGCGGCTTGAGTAGTTAGAATAGGGTCTTGGGGCCCGTTGTACCATGTATAATATGTCAGGCAACCCCCCAAATTACTCTAGGAATTTATTTGGGCCCCTAAATCACCCTAATGAACTGGGTTGTAGTTTTGGGGCTCCGAAAAGTATTTATGAATAGGTGCCTCTATAGGAACCATAAGGGAAATTAAAAAGTTTCCCAAATTGCCACCTAATGAATGTTACTCTAAACAAAAACAGAGAACCCTCTAAGACCCTGTCGATCCCCATGAAGCTTTGGATCTAAACCCTGAACCCCAAACCCCCAAAATCCCCAAACCCTAAACCCCAAAACCCCAAACCCCTATGCCCTAGCACTCTAAACCCTAAACCCTTAAAACCCTAAACCCCTAACCCTCGCCTAAACCCTGGGCGCTAAATCCTTCTCTCCTAGGGCCCGAAGGGGCCCTGCCCCCTACGCTTTTTGCATATGAGCCGGCTCGACAGTCACTACATAGGAACCCTTTGATGACGAAGTTTATGTGTGTGTGTGTGCATATATACATATATATGTATACAATGGTATGTATGTATGTATGTATGTTTGTATGTATAGTACATGTATGTACGTGTTCATGCATGTATGTATACATGTACGTATGTATGCATGGATGCACGCATCTGGCTATGTGTCTATGTATGTACATATCTGTGTCTGTGTATGTGTGCGAACAAAAACAACTTATACATACATATGTCATGGGTTGAGACTTCGGGTGATTTGTCCTAACGTCGAAAAGCCTATACCTGGCATGATTACAAGCATTTTCCGGTATCTGCTTCCTCAAACCTTGCGATCTTACAAACCATATCCCGTCACGTCATGCAGAAGCCAGCATATTAACCTGGAAATCCTGCAAGCCGTCTCTTACGATCTGCGTCCGAACCCCATATATGAACCTGCAGATCCGTACAAGCCAGATCCTGCTAATTGAACCGGAACCCGACAGATAGACCCTCTGCGCAGAAGTCCGAACATTTCCCAACACAAGATTCTTTATAGAGCATGAATAAAGTCGCAGAGACAAAGACAGGCTGTCGAGTATAGCATTGAGCCCAACCCTGGCATGAAGGTAGATCCTAAACCCCAGAACTTATGTTGGCTTTTCTTGAAACAGGCCTTAAACACACCCTAAGGGTCCAAAGGACCCAATAATCAGGTACCTGGGTTTAGGATAATAGTTATGTAGGTTAGGATTTTGGAAAGTATATTAACCCCAAATAACCTAATGTTCTACGGATTTGTACCGAGAAGCTAAGTAATATAATGTAGGGCCTTAACAAGTAGAATCGGGTTTTGGGGTCCATTATACTATAAATATAACAAGCAACAAATATTATCGTCCTTCATACTTATAAACGGGCTTAGTTCAAGGTTTAGGGGAGTTTATGTTACGGCTTACCTGCATTGGGACTATGAGGGTCTTGCTGCTTAAATTTTCAGATGCCTGGCATATACCATGGGGGTACTAGCATGGACCACTCCTCTACTTTTCTCCTGGGAGCCAGTAAATCGAAAGCTTACATCCAAGTTCTGTGAGCAATAGTGTTGGAGCAAGCCACCCTAAGAAACCCCAATTTACAGCGACCCTACACAGGTTCCGGTAGCTCTAACCCTAAACAATAGGGGCCTGAATAATTAGAATAGGGTTTCGGGGTATACTATACTATATTCATAAAAAGGAGCCCCAAAATTAGTATAGGCAACTTTTACGATTTGAAGGCCCCTATAGTAGCCTGAGCCCACTCTGGGGCTTTCGAGTCTGGTACAGACTTCCGAGATTCGGGTTGGGCTGCGGGAAAATCTGCACCTCGATACTGGTAGATCCTTATGAATTAGGTGCTGCCCCCTTACAGTAAGAGTCTATAATAGGGCTACTATTACGGTCCTAAGATATGTGTATTATGAAAATCATTCAACTATTACTGAGTGGGGGCCGTACCCAACTTATGAAGTATGAGGACCCCAAGCAAGGAACCCCTAACTTGAAGAAGCCTGAATTAGATACGTTATAAGAGCGCTCTAAACGCACCATACAAGACACCAACAAAAAAAACACAAAGTACTGAACCCTAAGCCCCCAAACCCAAAAAATGCAAACCCCTAAACCCCAAACCCTAGACCCTGTAAATCATGAACACATAAGTTTTCTGAATGCCACCATGTGCTCTCAGGGCCTTCTTGGTGTAGAGCTCGGCATCACGCTGCTTCTGCTTGAATGCCAGCTCCTCAGGCTCTAGTTTAGGATTTAGGGCTGCGTCTAGCTCCTGTGTTAGCTTTTAAACCTTTGGTTTCAAGATATGTTTTGCCGGCATGGTGAGGATTCAGTTTGGGCTTAAGGGACCGTCCAAGAGACCGTCAAACCTGAGCCCTCGTGTTTCAGGAAAAGCCTCATATAGTAACCTTACACCTTTCACCCGACATCAAGGCAATAAGTGGATAATAACCACTTATAACATCCTTTGCACATAGCAGCATAGAGCTAAGCCCGAAACCCAAAGCCCACAAGCCCTCTAAACCGGAGCTTTTGGGAATCTCTTCATGTTAAGCTTCCAGAACATTGGGGGGTTTTCAGGAAGAAAAGACACTGATCCCTAGGGATCAAAATAGCCCAAAAGCCTTTTATAGTATGGTCTTTTGGGGGTTTAGGCTTAGGGGGGCCCAAAAGCCTTTATTCATATATGAGTCCTTAGAGCCCTAGGGGATGTTCTGCATCCCCATGTGCAGCGCTGTCACCTCGTCGGAACTGGCGGTCTTCATCGTCTGCTGCACCTTGATTACTAGACCCAAAAGCAACGTAGGAATAAAAAGGGCGCCCCTTTCGGTTTAAAGGGGCGTATAAGGGAACACGAACCCTAAAAAAGGGAATAAGGGCCTACTCTAGGTCCTATATCCCTTGGGCTCCAAACTCCCATAGAAGAGTCACTTCTGAGGGAGTTAGGCTATTGAAGCCACCATACTAGCCTTTCTAAACCCTTGCAGAACCGTCAGGCGATTGAAGCCACCATACTAACCTTTCTAAACCCTTGCAGAACCATCACATCCTTGCAGAGCTTGGAGGGCTCCCCTTAACTTAACGGCATCATGGGTGTTGCGCGGTTTTGTGGAAGTGAGGGCCTCAATATTAGAATCCTCCTGCTTAGCCTTTGGGATTAACGGTCAGTAGCGTCAAGGATGTTATTGCCTTCTGTTGCTTTGGAAGGATATGTTTAACAACGTTCCCGGTCTTCGGGACATGTAGTGAAGGTGGAACGTTTTGAGGCGAAAGTCGGGCATGGGACTTTTCTGCATTGCCCGATAAGTTTTTGTCCCTTTGGCGGCTAATGACAAC